TTTTAAGAGGAATTTTTCGCACTATTACGTCTGCAAATAGTTGTCCTAGCCCACAATTGGTTAGGGGGCCAACCAGGTGTCAGTGACGGGGCCCCTAAGAGGTCGGGGGCCCCTAAGCAACTGCAGTCTCTGCTTAACGATATTTACGCCATTGCATACCATATAAAAAAAAAAAATCGTCCCTGCTGCTGATATCTGTAATAAAACGAATCTGGATGAAGGAGCCAGACAAGTTCCATCTAAAAATTGACAAGTTGTTTGTGTTAGAAATAGTTAAAAAATATTTTATAAATATAAAGTGTGTATATATATTTACATATATTCTAAATGGTTTTTTTTTTTTTTCATAAATGTGAAGAAAGCAGAGATGCAGAGCCAGGCTGGCTCTTAATCAAAATCCAAACCGAGCGCCAAACGTCTTGCTCAACCTGGACAAGTTGCTCTAACAATATAACATGTAGAGCTTGAAGAAAGTTCAGCCTAGGCAGCTGGATGTAAAGTTTCCTAGAAGATGTTTCACCTTTCAGCCAAGAGGCTTCTCCTGTTTAACTATTGGTGGGAAGCATTGATGGCTTCATTCACGCCTCTGGTTTAAGAGGGGCCAAAACAAGCTTTTAATGTTGGTCCATGTTAGATTTATTCAATGATGATTATAAAATTAATGTGTGTGCATATAGAACATTGAGGAAAGGAGATGCTTCACTCTGTCTTATAATTCAATTAGAGGACCACTCTCTCTCTGCCTTGTGATTCAGTCAGTGGAGCATCCTGTCTTATGACCTGATCAATTGTCCTGTCAGAACAATACTCTGTTTTGTAACCATGTGTTATGTTCTGTTAATAAATAAGGCACTGCAGGAGGGGGGTTGGAGAGAGAGAGTAGTGTTTTGGGTTGCAGCTCTTTCTCCCCTCGTGCAGGAAGCTGTTGAAAATCCCTTTCTGTGTGGACTCAGTCCTTCTTTTACAAACCTACATTTTTTAACCTAACAGTCCACTCTATAAAGCCTCAAACCCAATGCTATTTCTGACAATTTGAATTGAAAAAGCTTCTTAGATTGGAAGCAAAACATCTTCAAATTTGGAAACAAAGTCCAGTGGATTGTTTTTTTTTTTTTTTGGGAGTCCTACTGGTAAAATAATAAGAGTTCTTTTTGGTAAATAAAACATCCATATCTGTTAATAAATTTCCAATTCTAAATAAAACTTGCCATGCTTGGGCGTTGAATAGGAAAAAAATAA